CCCGGGCTGGGCACCCTGGGGGGCTCTGGGGCTGCTCCCCTGCTCTGTGCAGCCCTCAGGGATGGTTTGGGGAAGGGCAGCGCAGGAAAAGATGGGTTGTCTTTCACACAGGGCAAGGGGTGGCTTGGGCTGGGCCTGTAGCTAGAGATGGGTTTGTTATCTGAATGCTTAAGGGATTATTTATCCTGGAATGCTTTGGGCTGGAAGGGAGTGTAAAGATCACTCATTCCACCCCCTGCCATGGGCAGCAACACCTTCCACTAGCACAGGTTGCTCCAAGCCCCGTCCAGCCTGGCCTTGGACACTCCCAGGGCTGGGGCAGCCACGGCTGCTCTGGGCAACAATTACATAAAATAAGATTATTTCCAGCATCAACATGAGCCTGTGACTGCCAGGGTATTTTGAGCCTCCTCAGGGTCCAACCTGCCTGTTTCTCTGCTCCCTCCCCTCTGGAAGCCACCTCCCTCCCCGCAGTTCAGCACACTGGCCCAACAGACACAGGAGAACGATGTGGTTCTCAGAGGTTGTCACACTTCAGGCTCTGGGGTGAGGCCACATCACTCCACCTTGTTGCTGACCTCATGCCTTTATTCCAGCTTGGTGCCTGAGGAACGAGGGTGTCAGCTCTGTCCTTCTGGGGTCTTCCAACCCGGAGCAGCTGATCGAGAACCTCGGAGCCATCCAGGTAAGTGCAGGTGGTGGTGGCCCCTCCCTGGGGGTCTAGCTCTGCTCAGCTCCCTGGGGGTGACACCCCCACACCTCAGCACCCTCCTTCTCTTAATTTAGTGCCAGTACTTGGTATTTTGTCCTGCAATTCTGTTTATGCCCCTTAATTAGGCAAATCTAGGGTGTCACCAGGATTTACCACACTGGTGGTGGTTATAGATGTATCCAGTGACACCATGGAGGCATCAGCAGGTTTAACGTGTCTGAAAGGGAAAGGGACCCTATTCCAGGGCACGCTGTGATGGATTCTGTGCTGCCATATGTCACCTGCACCCACCTTAATGAATCTGCTGTTCGTCACAATCAGCCTCCTCTCCCTGTGCTGCCCTGGCACCAGCTCGTGTCCCACTGCAGCCCAGCAAGTTCAGGGGCATTGCCATGAATCTCTCACTGAGTAAAGGCAGTCCAGTGGTTCCTCCTTTAAGGGAGAGAGTTATTAGATGAATGTTTAATATCTGTCACACACAAAAACCCCAGAGGAAATGTTATCTGATAAAATCTGGGTTTAAATTTGGAACCAACCTTGATTAAACAGGGGCCGCCTTCTCCCCGCAGGTCCTTCCAAAGATGACGTCCCACATCGTGAACGAGATAGACAATATCCTGGGAAACAAGCCCTACGGCAAGAAGGACTACAGATCCTAATGCTCTGCATGAGCTGCCTGCACTGCATGGTGTAGAAGTGCTCTGTACAGCCGTACAGCCCCGACCCAATAGCCGGGCATGAGAATCATTCAGCACCTGCTGCTCGGTGTCTCCTGTCACTGGACCCTTCGAGATGTGTGCTCTTGCTACCAATCTGCAGTGAAATCAAAAAGGCACAGCCGATCTCTCTTCTAACCAGGAATAATCCTGTATTTTTTCTTACCTTCGACCGAGTTCATTAATTTTTACTTTCCTCTCTGCACCTCATGCTTGTGCTGTGAAAAACACTTGTAAAGCAAAAAAAAAAAAAAACAAACCAACAAACTAATTTATAACCTTCAGGTACTTGGTAATTAAAGAAGGATGTACAGATCTATTTTTTCAATGAAGAAAAGCCAGATACAACTTCAGGTTTTAATAAAACCACGTTTGGGAAATCTCAACTATAAAGTTTCTTCAGGTTAACAGGTGGAAGGGGCGAGCTCAGACTTTGGTTGCTTTTAGAGACGCTGAGTATAAGCTTTAGGTTTTGTTTGTAGCTGAATAAAAGCTGTAAGACAGAGAATCAGTTAGAACTTAGTTCAGCTCCTAACTGTACAGCTACTCCAGCTGTGGGTGCTCCTGGGAAGCCTCCCTGAGCAGCGTTAGGAAACCCAACCTCGCATGTCAGGTTACTGAACCAACAGCTCTCTGCAAAATTCTACTTCTCCATAAACCTTAAACCAAGAAAGCCATGATTAAATATTGGGTTTTGCATCTATAGAAACCTGCCTCTACTTCTGCCTGCTTGTAGACAGAGCTACTGCAAATTTCAATATTCAGGAGCTTTTAAGGATATAGACACTTATAAATATATATATATATATAATAAATAACTGCTGAAAACTACCAGGAAAAATCAGGTACGTACCTTGAAAGGCTACATCTGCTTTATTTTGGAATCAGGGATAAGTAAATGCATAGACACATTTCAAACAGATTTTTGTGAGCATTTACAGGAGTTGATAGCAAGGATGTACATATTAATTTACCCAGCTGGAGAACCACGTTGTAGTTTCCCCTGGATTTGCTCTGTACAACTCCCATGATCTCAGCCTGTATTTCTCAGGTCCTTCCTGGGGTACAGCCCTGTACAGTATTTGTAGGACCCTTGTACTCTGGACCCAAGCCCAGGGCTCACCTGGGCCAGGTGAGCAGCCCCCAGTGCTGAGTTGTCTCCTCCTGTATTCGAAGCTGTGGTCTGTGTAAATGACTCCTGCTGTATATGAGACCTGCAGTCTGATGGATCCTGCTTGGACACAATAAAAGCATTTTGTGCATCTGATTTATCCCTGCAGACTGTTACTGACTGCACGAGCTGCCCGGAGCCAGCAGTGCTCTCCCTGGACACGGGGAGCTGTTGTTCCTCAGGGAGACTCTCCTGCTGTCCCCAGGAGGGCCGGTGACACGGAGCAGGGACACGAGGGACCTGGGCTGGCTGCACACCTGGGACGGAGGTACCTCTGGAATCAACCCCCTGGGACAGACACCTGAGCGATGCTGTGACAGCCTTGAGCTGAAGGAGGGCAGGGGTAGGTGGGACAATGGGGAGAAACCCTTCCCTGGGAGGGTGGGCAGGCCCTGGCACAGGCTGCCCAGTCCCAGCCCCTTTCCCAGTGCTCCTTCCACCGTCCCCCCTGCTGCATCATCAGCTGGGACAGTTAACTGATGTTCACTGCTGCAAAGGCTTCGACCACCTCACAGTTAACAGCTTTGTTCATTTAACAGAATTATCTTCCCAGTAGCAGACTAATTTCCCTCCCTCTGCAGGTACAATTTAATGTTCTCCCTTTCCCTTCGCACGTACGTGGGGATCCAGCAGCGCATTAAAAATAGATTAATTACCAACTTTTTTTAATTGAAAAGGAGATGGCATTGTCTCCTACTCAGAGCAAGAGCTTAAAACTCTGAGGGCAATGGGGGGCCAAGCGGCAGCTCAGCTTGAGGTCAACCCTCAGCATTAACTGAAGAAATCTAATTTCAGCGTATTAGATTGAATTTTATATACATCACTGCAGCTTGTAGTGCGGATTGCAAGGGGAAAAAACAACCACCCCCCAAAAAACAACTCAAAAGCAGACAAAAATACAAATAACAAAAAAAAAGACAGCCCCAAAACTTTTCTGAGCAGGCCCAAGATGAGGGTTTTTTGCAGCACACAACCCACCCCACCCACCCACCCACCTGCTTTTGTTTCAGGCTGTCAGTGCTCGATGATCCCTCTCCTCGCTCCAGGCCTCAGCAACTGCTAATCCCAAAAAAACCCCCTACAGTAGGATGAAAAGCTGTTAATAAAAGACTCAGTGAGGTGACAGTAATAGCAGAAGGAAGTGCTGCTTCCAAGCACTGCTCCAGCCAGCAGGTTTTCTGGAGGACACACGTGGCAGGGAGAGCCCTGGCGGTGCAGTGAGTGTATCGGTGTTGTTTGTTCAAATGTTCAGTTTAAGGACTGGGTGATTCGGGAGGAATGGAGCAAAAACCAGCCCCATCCAAACCCTGGTGCTTGGAGAGCTGCCAGCCTGGCCTCCTGCTGGGCTCTGCCTGGGTACAGAGGCTTGGCACAAATTCGGTTTGTGAGTGCGAAACTGCCTGAAATACGGACATTAGATCCTTTACAAGAAGTGGTAAGTCAAGGACAGCACAACTGTGTGAGGCAGGCACCAGCCTGGGTGTCTCCTAGGGAATGTCTCCTTCCAGAGGTGAATGATCAGGCACCAGTGATAAAGAAAAATCCACACATTTTGAGGGGAAACAATCAAGTTAAAAAGTGCTAAATGCCTGACCAGAGAAGTGATTTCCAGGGCAGCTCCGAAGTGCACCGAAGCCACGGGAGTTTCCATGGTTTGGATAAACAGAACGGATCATACCGGGAAGCAAAGGAAGAGTAAATGATGCAGGGGAGGGTTAGGACAAGACCCCCCAACCCCATCCAATCCCCAATCCCAAAGGATGCTGACAGGTGTGATAAACAGTCAGTCAGCAGGCACTGGGTAAGTAGGAATTGTTCTATGACTGGTTATTTGTCAGAAATAGAGCCCTTTCTGTCTCCTGCTCTCCAGATTCTTCATTTTACTCTATTTTCCATAAATCTCATTGAAGTGAAATTTAGCAGAGTAATTGTTACATTAAATCTGATTATGAGCTTTCTCCTTCTTCCCTACAGATCCCAAGTCTGTAATGGCAGGATCTGTAACTTCTGCACTAGAATTCCAATAATAGCAGTCGAGTTTGGCATTTAACAGAACAGCTGCTTCAGTGATAGCAAGAAAATAAGGGACAGGATTGTCTGATAAACCCATTACAACAAGCCAGCTAAAGCATTTCTGCTAAGCTGTGCAAGGAAACTGCAGGGCTTTTTATTTATTTGCAATTTTGGAAATGAATGGGGAAAAAAAAAAAAGTATATTCAAATCACTTCCAAAGTGTTTTTCTAGGGGGTTTAGGTTGTTGTCCTGACAACAAGTTACTTAAAAATTAGGAGTATTTCCAATGAACACAGGAAAAGCCTCCTTTGGTGGAGAAAGCAGAATGAGCCAACAAACCTACACATGAAAATGCCCATTTTTTTAAAGAATGGAAATACAAGGAACTAAATGGCAAAAAAAGCTCCTTTTTATTACAACTTCCCAAGTTACATTGGTAGATGGTGGATTGTCACTTTTTTGATTGGTGAGTTTGGCTCTGAGGCTGCTCCCCAAACTCCCAGGGGCTGTGGGTGCAGCTGGGCAGTCCCAGTGTGGAGCTGCCCGTGGGCTGCAGAACCATCACAGCTCTGGGGAGCTTCACAGAGGTGCCTGCTCACAGCTCACACCCCATTTCCCTCCTGAAGTAAAAAAATTCATTCATTCATGTCTTGAGTAACACCATGTAAAGATACCAAAAGTAAAGATAATTCCATCACTTTGGATTCAAACCCTCCCCCCCCTTACACTCATAATACAAAAAAAAAAAAATTCCTATTCTGCCCTTGAACATTTTTATGGCAGTTGAGGCCTCTCACAGAAAAAAAAATGCTGTGGGGTTTTTGTCTACTTGGATCCAGTGGAGAGCAGAGCGATCAGTCCTGATGAAGCACTTATAGAAAGAATATAGTTTCTGTAGGGAACAGGTTAAGGACATACAATTCTATAGATACTTCTTTGGTACAGAACATTTACTAGAAGTTTTGTGAAAAAGAAGGAATTGGAATGGTCTTTACAGGTTTAAAACTGAAATACTGTAACCTCAACTGCAGCTCAAAATAAAGGCACGAACTTACCTTTAAAGTTAAGACACTCATAAAGTCGAGCCTGTTCTCTTAACTGTATTTGCAAAACAAGTTTTAACTACAGAACATCTTGAATTAACTGCCCTGACTGGCAATACCAATTTCCTTAAGGAACACAAGATTCTACTTGTGAAGTTACAGAAACTAAAGCAACCTGCAAGGTAAGAGCACCTGGCAACTAACAACGACAGAGGGTTTCTGCAGGAAAAACAAGCTGCCTCCTCGTTCCAAAATTACAGCTCAAGTGGCAAAGCCACGAGAATTTCTGGAGTGATGTCCTTAAAGCACCTGATGTCACATTCATGGGATTGGGAAGGGTTTTTCTGTAAACTCTGCTTTTCAGCCAGGGCACAAAGGATACACGGTGGGGTTGAAGTTCTTGAGCACGAAAAACGAAGCGATGATGACCAGCACCAGGAACAGGGTGTTGTTGTAGAAGATGGAAAAAGTCGTCGCTTCATAGTCTGCAACTTCATTTTTCTTCCACAGGATTCTAGGAGCAAGTAGAGACAACAGTTCAGGCATATTTAAATCAGTGTATCTGATTTAAATGTCCTTAAGGACACTTAAGGCAGCAGTACAACAAAGGAGAGAAGGAAGAGGACAAGGAGATCACCTTTCATCCTTCTCCTTACGGGACATCTTCCTGTTGTCTGCCTCGGACAGCTTGCGAGTCACTTCCTTGGAAACAGCATCCTCTCTTTTCTGGGCTACCCTGTAAGCAACACCACTCATGTTCAACTCCAGAAACTAATTAAAACCCCCACAGGTAAACCCTGGGATTAGAGGAAGTTTTATTTACAGCGAAGAATAAAATGGAGTCAAGACACCAAACAGTTTTGTCAAGTTGAAGGGACAGGTAATAATCAAACTGCTATAGGTAATATAATGTTGATATAATCAGTAATTTAATTTAAATATAATTTATGGCAATACCCATTGAGCACAATGGTACTTCTGCTATTTCACTGTACTCTTAGCTGACAAGACTAGGCTACTCCATAATTACAAGTGACAACAAAAACCAACTAGGAAATATTTCTGTGTAAAACAGATTTTGGAGTAACATTTCAGGCATTCTTATTCATAAAAAAAATTAAGTTGTAGACGCTGGTTCTGTTAAATTATTAAATAATAAATTCCAGTCCCAACAGCCACCAAACTTACTTGTGTTTGAGGACAAACTTGACGTTCTTATACGCAAAAGCCACCAGATAGGTACTGATGAGGGTCATCACGCTGTACAGGACTGCGGACTGAACCAGATCCATGTGCCATATCCTCCAGTAGAGCCCTTCAAAGGAGAAAAAAATAAAATCACGTTTTGAGTGGCTTCTCTCCAAGGAAAAAAAAAACCACAGGAGCATTTTTTTCTCCAGGATCAGCACACAGGAGACCAGCTCTGTAATTCGGCACGGGCTCCACCAGCCCAAACCCAATTCCCGCAAATCCCTTGGAGCGCTGGGGCTGCGTTAGGAACACTCGGGATGGAGAAACGCGCTCCGTGAGGCCCCTCCGGGCCGAGGCAGCGCCGCAGGGACACGTCAGGGCTGTGGGGCCCTCACGGGCGGCCCACGATCGGCCCCAAACCCGCACGGAACCGACCCCGCACGGCCCCGCCGGGGTGGGCTCGGAGCGGCAGCGGGACAGAGCCCGTGCTGGGGAGTCCCTGATCCCTCAGGGGCCACCGGTCCCCTTCAGAATCTGCCGATCCCCTTCCCAGGACCTCCCGCTCCCCTCAGGTGCTGCCGATCCCCTCAGGTGCCGCCGATCCCCCTCCCAGCGCCTCCTGCTCCCCTCAGGGCCTCCTGCTCCCCTCAGGACCCGCCGCTGCCCTCCCGGCCGCCGCCAGCCCCGTTCCCCCCGCTCACAGATGGGGATGGCGGACACGATGAAGGCGTTGCCGAAGAAGAGCGCGGAGGACTTGGCCGAGAGGTTGCGGCTGAAGTCCTGCAGGAGCAGGTCCTCCTCGGACTGCTGGCGCCCGCCGGGGCCGCCCTTGGGAGCCATGTCGGGAGCGGCACCGTCAGCGCTCGGAGCGGCTCCGGGGGCAGCACACGCGGCAGGGGCGGGACCGGCACCGGCTCAAAGCGCTTCCGGAGCACCCGGCCCCATCCCAATCCCTTTCCCAATCCCCATCCCGATCCCAGCCCCTCTCCCGAGCCCCGGCCCGATCCCAGCCCCGCTCCCCATCCCCGATGTAGCCGCGCTCCCCGCGCCGGGACCCGCGGCGGCCGAGGCAGGTGAGTGCTCTCGGGGGGATCCCTCCGGGCTGGCACACTTTGCCTGGGAGAGGAGTGGAGTTTTGTTTTGTTTTGTTTGTTTGTTTGTTTTTTTTTCCTGCCGGTGGAAATCCCACCCTCCAGCGTTTCTGCCTCGTTTCGGGCTCTTGGAGCCGCTCCCTGAGCCCCCTCCCCGCTCCACACCAGCCGCACAGAGGGCTCTGCTTTCCACTCCTTTTATCGTTCCCCCTGCAGTTTGTGAGAACAGATTTTGGGCAGGAGTTTTGAGCTGGAGTTTTGAGGATTGCCATCCGTGTCCCCCAGCAGGGGCATACAGGCATTGCCCCATGGCCTTGGGCTGACTGCAGCAGAAGAACTCCTTGGTCCCTGGACAGCACATTTCTCTTAAATATTTTTAGCGTTTTGGTGTAAAAACATCATTTAGCAAACTGTATGCGTTCCTAAAATTTAATTAAGGACATTTTTTCCCGTTTATTCCCCCCACCCCCGGTTACTAGTGTTATCTGCTTCCAAGAAAACACACAAGGTGCACACCACGAGGAAATGCCTCCTGGAAATGAGGTTAAATTGAAATGGGGTTAAATATGAACACAATTAACTCGCTATAATAGAGCTTTATAAAACATTCAGGTGCAGTAGGAGTTGCTTTTTGACCTTGTAATAAATTTCCAAGACCAAGCCAAGCGTGGATTTTCAGCCTCGGTGTATTGCTGTAGTGTGCTAACGGGATTTATTGCTCATGTCATGCTATCTGCAGGCAGCTATGGGAATTATACTCCTGCCAGCCAGACTTGCCTCCAGGCTTGGAAACATCTCTCCTGAAGGGATTCCCAGGCTGGATTTGTGGACACACCAGCCCATCAGATGAAGGGCAGGAGCTCTGAGGACCAGCAGAAACACCTGTGAGTACCAGTTGTGGCCATACCTGTGCACAGAAGGCAGGGAGCCAACCTTCCCCCTCACCGTGGAACCATGGAATTGTTTGGGACAGAAGAGACCTTGAAGCCCATCCAGTGCCACCCCCTGCCATGGGCAGGGACACCTTCCCCTAGCCCAGGTTGCTCCAAGCCCTGTCCAGCCTGGCCTTGGCCTCCTGCAGGAATTAACCTGTTCTGAAGTGATTTCAGCAGTTTCTGGCTTCCACGGGTGGGAGATGCTGTTTGCCTGTCAGGTGGCAAAGTCTGTGCTGAACAGGGTTCTCCAGCAGGAGCAGAGGTTGGTCCTGCTTTGTTGGTAAAACCTTAAACCCATAACATCCCTGCCCACCACAGGGGCTGGAACTGGAGGGTCTTAAAGGTCCCTCCCAACCCAAACCAGTCTGATTCTAGTAGGTAACATCACTAATTAACCAACGTTACCAAACATGAATTCTCTTATTAAAGAACATGGTTAGAGTTGTATAAAGTAGTTGGAAACTGTGAGGAAGATTAAGATTGTTTCAGGATTCACATGAATCACTGTCTCTGTCCTTGCCCAGATTTCTTCCTTCTGCTCATCTGGGTAAATGTGTGCTGTGCTGTGGTGGGCTGTAACTGTCTCAGCTCCTGGTTTGGGTTTACATGGCAAGGATGCCGTCATTTGGGAAGGAAATCTGCCCAGTGACCATCTGTCTCTCCATCAGGATGAAGCAGGACATTGTTTTAGGCAGCGGAATGACGACAGATCTTCTTGGAAAAAAAACAGATGAGCACTTTGCCCTTAAAAACCCCCTGGCACTGGCAAACTGTGCCTTCAGGCAGAACAGTGTGTACAGCGAGATGTCACTGCAGCTTCGTGCTCTGAGTGCCTCGAAGATACTCCCCCAAAATAAACAGGGCCACCAGTTCCTGTCAAAACAATTCCAGGGTTTCTTTAAGTGCCTAAATCTGCATCTTGGCTGAATCCTCGTTCAGAAGCTGTTGGGAGCTTGAGGTATCAAAATCAGAGGAACAATTGCTCTGTGACCCAACAGCAAAAGATCTGCTGATAATGGGAAAATTATCGCTGTTGTCTTTGTAACTTATGAATTAGGTTTCTTACCGAATTTCTTCCTGAAACACTGAGGCAGTGATAAATAAGCTGGCAGTACATGCTCTCAATTTTATCTAAATCTCTAAGCTGGACTAAGCTGAAAATTTTAAAGGAGGGCAGTGACACTTCCCAGCAGGATTTATTTTGTTTATTTTATTTTGCTGCTTATCTGTGGGAAGTATAGACTCCAAAACACCTTTGTGTTGGATTGAAAGGTGTAATCTCCAAGGCAGGTGATTAACAGGAAATGTCTGCTCCTTAGCAAAGTGTTTGTCATCCTCTGTGCTAATATGACTCATAATGACTTTAACTGCAGGAGAGTAGATTTGGATTAAATACTGGGAAGAAATCTTTCCCTGTGAGGGTGGGCAGGCCCTGGCACAGGTTGCCCAGAGAGGCTGTGTCTGCCCCTGGATCCCTGGAAGTGTCCAAGGCCAGGTTGGACGGGGCTTGGAGCAACCTGGGCTGGTGGAAATGTCCCTGCCCATGGAATTTATCATTCAGGAAGGGATTAGTGTGCTGAGTTTGGGATCAGCTGATGGGGGATTGTTGAAATACAAAGGAAGACCTCCTTTGGCTGAGCACTGGTGGCACTCATGAGCTGAGCAGCTTTTCCCTCTGTGTGGTAGCTGGGTGGGTGAGAAGCTTTCCCGTTCTCCCGTGTGCTGTGCTTTTCCTGAAACCTTCTGTGGTGCCTGAGGTTTGAAACTGGAGCCATAAGCTGTATTATTTTCCAGCCAAATCAGTTCCCAGGTTTAGAACCCCAGGATGGATTGGGTTGGAAAGGATCTTAAAGCTCACCTCATTCCACCCCCTGGCACAGGCAGGGACACCTTCCAGTCCCCAAAAGAGGTACCTACTGTTTCTAAAAGCTGGGAGTTGCTGGGTTTCCAAGGCACTTGCTGTATGTGAAGGCAGCTCAGTGTGGCATATGTGACCCATTTTTGAAATGGTCTCAGCTGCTCCACTTTCCTTCTTTGGCACTTTTAGGGTTCTTGTGGTGTGGACCAAATGAATGAAATCATGTCTAGGAATAGATGCAGGGGCTGGTTTGCTCGGGTAGAGCCTGGAACTGGCCCCACTTTGGAAAAGCAGTGTCAGAGGCACTGTTTGGAAAATAACCATGACATAAAGGCAAGTCAAAGAGTTGTTTCCCTGTGGGACACTCAGCTGGGGTCTGTGCAGCAGCAGATCAGGGGTTCTCCCCCCATCCCCACCCTGGGGATGTATGAGGTGATCTGCAGGGGGATTATCCCTGTCCAGTTCAGCAGCCTGAGTCCCTGGTGGTGGGAGGGAACCAGCCAGATGGGATTTCTGAGTCTGCAGCGTGTGATCCTGGCACCCACCCACCACTGCTGCTCCGTCCCTCGGGGCTGTGGGAGGATCTCACGGGGCCTGGTGCCGCTCTCCACCTGGGAGTTCTCCAGGGTTTCCCATTCCTGGAGCCTTGAGCTTGGCAAACACCTGGACTTCAACCACAGGACAATTTTACCCTACAGTGTGTAGTCAGAAGAGTTGGCCATCCAAAATGCTGATCTAAAGTAAGAAGGATGAACTAAAACTGAAGGGTCATGTGAGGGATGTTTGGATGAGGGAATAAACGGGGGTGTTTCTGACTGTTCTGTCTTCTGAGTGGTTGGAGATAAATCCATCCACAGGAAACAGACTTAGCTTTTGGTTTTCCACCTGGCTCAGCCTGGATCTGGTTAGAGAAAATTCTGCCAGGTTTTCTTCCTAATTTAAAAAAACCTTAGGAAACATGAAAGAAAAAAACCCTGAACAGAATTAACGTAGCAAGGCAGTGTCCTGGACCCTCCTGCAATGCTGAGTGGTGAGGTCTAGAATCAAAGCATTCCTAGCGTGCTCCCACACGGAACTCTGGGGTAAAGAAATGATGTCCCAGTGCAAATTCCCTTCCTGGGATGAGAGCAGAGCATCTCCTACTGCCAGGCACTTGGGGCTGTTTCCAAGAGCAGCTGCTGAACAGAGCAGGCATTGGGCTGTTTCCTGCACCATCCTAAGGCTGAGGTTTTATTTAGGTGTTCTGCAGCCTCTGTCCACCCAGCTGCTCCCTGAGCTGCAGGTTTTGGCTCTTCAGCTCCTGCATCTTGGAAGAAAAATGCTTTGTTGAATTTAGCGTCGATTTCTCCCTCTCGCTTATTTTATTCTCAATTTAAGATGTGAGTGTTCCCCTTTTCCTCCTTGCTGTTTGAATCATGCAAAGCCTGGGAGAAGGGGCGGTCAAATTTACAATGCCTCTACCTTTTATATAGTAAGGATTGACCTTTTCCAGGGATATCTCCAGAGATCTTCACTCACACCTTCAGCTTCCCCAGGGTGTGGCAGGTCTTTGTGGAGCCAGTGTTTTATTGGGGAGTTAAAGGTTTGCCCCAGGAAGCAGCTCTGAGCTGGTTTTCAGATGTAAAATACACAGCACTGTCACCTCTCAGGCATTCTTTTTTAATTTGGTGGGATTTTTGGTCGAAGAATGGACTTCGTTTGCATGGAGATAGCAAACTGTCTGTCTGTTAGATAGAACTAACTGGTGATTTTAGAAAGAATTTAAATCCTAGCTGGCCAGCACTGCATTGTAAAGGGACATTCCCCTTCTGTTTGAATAGGAGTCAGCCTGAAGGAGCAGGAACAAAGCACTGCCATCCACACAGTGCTGCTTACCTGGTGGCAGGATCCAGCTGGTGAGCGTTCCAGAATCACCCCTAAGAAATCTCAGACGTTCAGTGGTGTTTTATGGTTCAGTTTGTATTAGCTGAGGGTTGGTAAGGGCTGCCTTGGCCTCAG